TCCCGACGCAGTTCCGGGCCCCGCGAGCCCTCCACTGCACCTCCAGTCCCCTCTGGCCGTCAGAGGTCTCGAAGACTCCCCCTCCCGCTCCCTAAACCGGATACCATCGCCCCAAACCCATCGCGACCTGTCCAGATCGACCCCCTCCGTCGCACCCCCCGCCCCTGCCCCGATGGCCTTCGACCAGGGCACGTTCGAGAGTTTCATCGGCGAAACGGTGACACCTGATGTCCTAGACATCATCCGGGAAAACTGCAGCAACAATATCGAAAGGGCAGTGAATATGTACCTCGACGGCACGTGGAAGCGATTCAAGAGGAAGCCCCCGGCGTCTAAGCCAATGCCGTCCAGCTTGGCCACGACTGTGCGCAAACAAGATAGACAGAGAGAGCCGGTGCGGCCGCTTGCGCTACACAGGTCGCTGGACGAACCACGGTACATTGGTGCCTTCGGGGCCGAAGGGTGGGCTACCCGGAATGGGGCCATTCTCAGGCACGGCGACCCTGTGAGGATTGAGCGACAGAAGATCCAGGTCCAACCGAACTCACGCAGCAGCGTACGCCGCGTCGATATCATGGTCCGTTTTACCGATACCAGGGGCAACGAGATCGGCCGTCTGTCTAAAGAGACGGCCGAATGGGTATCCACGCTCATAGATCAGAAGATCTGCAAGTTTGAAGGAAACTGTGTCTACGCCCCCGAGAGGCTGCGAACAAACGATACCATCTACCTGCAGCTCCGCTGCTCGCTGCTCGCGTCCTCCTTCCTTGGAAGAGGCTTCAAAATCGCCGACAACAGAAAGACGGGCATCTTCATGGAGGCCGAATCTACCGAGGAAAAAGATCTGCGGTTGCGGCAGACGGCGCTTGTAAGGCTCTTTCTCGAGATCAACCTCGTCCCCTCCAGAGGAAATGCGGCAACGGCGAGGAACCAACGCCAGGGTCTCCTCAACGCAGCCGAACTGGCCGAGAAGAAGGAAAAGGAAAGATCGAAATCTGCGGACAAAGACAACGCCACCTCCTCGCCCTCGGACGAGAATGAAGACGGGCAAGAGCTTGAGCAGGATCAGCTGGATACTCTCTACAAAAAGGCACAGTCCTTTGACTTCAACACCCCTGAAGCTGAACCGGCCGACACGTTTGCCATGACACTGCGCCCCTACCAGAAACAATCGCTGCACTGGATGATGGCCAAGGAGAATAACGAGCGGGACGAGGACCGCGAAGTGTCCATGCATCCCTTGTGGGAGGAGTACACCTGGCCGACCAAAGATTGTGACGACCAGGAGCTTCCCCGGCTCCCCGGCCAGCCCACGGCCTTCTATGTCAATCCCTATTCCGGCGACTTGTCCCTGGATTTCCCGCGTCAAGAGCAACACTGCCTTGGAGGCATACTGGCGGATGAAATGGGCCTCGGAAAGACCATCCAGATGTTGGCCCTGGTCCACTCGTACAGATCCGATGTCGCAGCTCAAGCCCGACAGGCTGCGTCGCCCCTGACGTCGGTGAACAACCTTCCACGTCTTCCATCCGTCTCCAGCAAGTATGGAGTTGTGGATGCCCCCTGCACGACGTTGGTGGTTGCCCCCATGTCCCTCCTTTCCCAGTGGCAGAGCGAGGCAGAGAACGCTTCCAAGGAGGGCACGCTGAAGTCCATGGTCTACTATGGCACGGAAAAGAACACAGATCTGACCACACTCTGCTGTGAGGCCAATGCTGCAACTGCCCCAGACCTGATCATTACCAGTTACGGTGTAGTGCTCTCCGAGTTCAACCAGATAGCCTCCAAGAATGGCGGCGACAAGTCCACCAGTCGCGGTATCTTCTCTCTCAATTTCTTCCGCGTCATTCTCGACGAAGCACACAACATCAAGAACCGCCAGGCAAAGACAGCCAGGGCCTGCTACGAGATCGCCGCAGAGCACAGATGGGTCTTGACAGGCACCCCCATTGTCAACAGGCTGGAGGACCTCTTCAGTCTTGTCAGGTTCTTGAGAGTGGAGCCGTGGAACAACTATTCCTTCTGGCGAACCTTTATCACGGTGCCGTTCGAGTCCAAGGACTTCGTGAGGGCCCTGGATGTTGTCCAAACAGTCCTTGAGCCGCTGGTCATGCGAAGGACAAAGGACATGAAGACGCCGGATGGGAAGCAGCTGGTTGATCTGCCGCCCAAGACAGTCGAGATCGTCGATATCGAGCTCTCTAGGATAGAGCGCGATGTTTATACCTACATCTTCAATCGGGCCAAACAGACATTCAACGCCAACGTTGAAGCAGGGACCGTCATGAAGTCCTTCACCAGTATCTTCGCCCAGATTCTCCGTCTCCGCCAGTCATGTTGCCATCCGGTTCTTGTCCGCAACCGGGAGGCCGTAGCCGACGAAGAAGAAGCCATCGCCGCTGCCGATGCTGCAGCAGGCCTTGCGGATGATATGGACCTCCAGTCCTTGATTGAGCGCTTCACCGCAACCACCGACGATGCCGCCGATGCAAACGTCTTTGGCGCTAACGTCCTGGGTCAGATCCGAGATGAAGCCGTCAACGAGTGCCCTGTCTGCACTGAAGAGCCGATGATCGAGCAAACCGTCACGGGATGCTGGCATTCGGCCTGCAAGAAGTGCTTGCTGGACTACATCCAACACCAGACAGACCGTAACGAGTTGCCCCGGTGTTTCAACTGCCGCGAGGTAATCAGTGAGCGGGATTTGTTTGAGGTTGTCCGCCAGGACGATGATCCAGACGCCGTCGGAGAGGGACCCCGTATCAGTCTCCAGCGGCTTGGGTCAGGCAGCAATTCCTCCAAGATCGTTTCCCTGATCAAGCATTTGCGTGACCTACGAAGAGACAACCCGGTCATGAAGTCGGTTGTGTTCAGCCAGTTCACCTCGTTCCTTTCTCTGATCGAGCCGGCCCTGACTCGAGCAAACATGCGCTTCCTCCGGCTGGATGGGTCCATGGCACAGAAGGCGCGTGTGGCCGTTCTTGAGGAGTTCAGGGAATCCAAGAAGTTCACCGTTCTCTTGCTCAGTCTCAAGGCGGGCGGCGTGGGACTGAATCTCACCAGCGCGAAAAGGGTCTACATGATGGATCCTTGGTGGAGTTTTGCCATCGAGGCACAGGCCATCGATCGAGTACATCGCATGGGCCAGGATGAGGAGGTAAAGGTTCACCGCTTTATTGTGAAGGACAGCGTCGAGGAACGAATGTTGAGGATACAAGACAGGAAGAAGTTTATGTGAGTTCGCGCCCCTGTCTGCCTACCAGGTAGGTATCCGCCGAGTTTCACTGCGATATCAACTGACTTGGCCATCCTGCAGTGCATCTTCGCTCGGGATGATGTCGGACGAGGAGAAGAAGGTGCAGAGGATAGAGGACATCAGAGAGCTGCTTAGCTAGACTTGCATCTTGCTCCATCATCTTGCGCCGTTGCTAAATAGAGCTTTTCAGGAGACTGCACCGGGCGGGTCGGGTGGGCAGTAGGTTTCGCCCCAAAACGGTCAGCTGAGCAATACTGATCAACAAGTGTCGAGAATTAGCCTTCAAGTTTTTGGGGGTGGGCGGAGGCAGTTCTAGCTGTATTGCTGGAGCTTGAAGGGACGGCCTACATGCACGTATCCACGCACATAAGATACCTCACGATATAATTATAGCGGAACTATGGCGCAACTGGTTGAGCGTTTGGGTGGCTCAATGACATGTTTTGCCATGGCAACAAGCTCGCGACTAAATAGTCCACTAGGTCCCCCGGTGACCCCCGTGACGAACGGTTGTGTACACGTGGACCTTGTGGTGCTTCTATAGTCAATCGTTAGTCAGACAACCGGTGAGGCACTTGGCGTCTCCAAGTACTTAGCTTCGCCCGGCGTTTCGGACGTGATTTAGGGGCCCTCCGACGGAAGTGTCGGAACCTCGAGGCATACGGGATATATAAACACGGTATGTCCAACCTGGGAGCAGTCTGGTTTGGAGCTCTTCAGTTAACCAACCAAAGTCACTCTTTTTCTCATTCTTGACCTTCGTTTACGCGGTTTCAATGAACTGATAGGGCAACAATACACTCTTTATATCACCAGACACTCCTTCAATACCAAACTTTTCAGCCAAAATGAACACCGTCGTCATTCCGTTCACCATTCTCCTCACCGGCAGCCTGGCCGCTCCGGTAACTCTACTCTCGAACTCGACCGTGTCAGCCACCAACACGACTATTACTCGTACGTCCACGGTTCCGAGCACCAAGCGAGATGCCGACGGCATGCACCGCGGAGACATGACCTACTACGAGGTGGCCCTGGGCTCGTGTGGCCAGGACGACAGCGGCAAGGGCGACACGGAAAACATCGTGGCGGTCTCGGCCTCTCTGGGCAACCCGTGCGGCCGGAGCGTCACCATCACGGCCAGCAACGGCAATAAAGTGGCCGCCGTCGTGCGCGACAAGTGCCCCATCGTGCATGGAGGGGGAGCTTGACGTGAGCGAGAAGGTCTCCATGGACCTCGTTGGCGACTTGGGGGTGGGCAGGACCGAGGTGACGTGGAAGTTCTCTTAGGGAAGGACTTCCCGGCTTCAACCTGGGGGGGCATCGTCTATCTCTGGGCGAGGCAGATGGATGATGCGCTACTATTAGGTCCTTGATCTCTCTCCCTTGCCCTATCAACAATACACAAATGCTGAGACAGCTTGGTTTCCAACTCCCGTCGGTCTCGGATCACCTCGTTCGTGCACTCTAATTTCCTATGTGAATCTGAACATGAATATCAGTAGATTTGGTGAACCAACTTAGACCACCCCATAACCGAGGTACTAATTAGTTAGTAGCCGTAAGGGGAATTATCAACCAACAAATACCCCGACATACCACCCAAAGAGGCATGCGCAGCTCATGTGGCTCTTCACATTATATTCATCTGACTGATAGATGAACAAAAAAACATAGCCGACGCCATCCCGATGGAATGGAACGGCAAAAAGAAGACACGACCTTAATTGTTCATGTTGCTGAATGCCCACACTCGGAATTGAACCGAGAATCTCCCCATTTTGATGTTATCCGATGGATTACGAGTGGGACGCCATAGCCATTAGGCCATGCGGGCGTGCTCCGTCTTGTTTGTTGGATGTTATGGGGCCCGACAAAAACGCGTGTTGTATCGTGGGAAGTGGAGCTGGGGCGTCTCAGTCAGCACTGGATTAATTAACTAGATAATGGGCAAAATGCGACCAGAATGTCCTACTAGCGCCAGGCCAGCAACATGGTTGTATCGAGGTGGATGGAGCTGACCTCGAAACATGCCAGTGCGTGCACGTTGACGGCTATGGATCGCTGTTGCTGTGATTAACGGCAGCCGCGAGCTTATTTGAAACTCATTCCGATGAATCAAATGATATGGATCCAGAGAGAATCGGAGTCTATATTTGTCTGAGCATCAATAAAATACCGTCAAGGTCAGCTAGATAATCAAATACTTAAACTAGGGAACCTCTCTTACAATTCGAGACGGTTGCATATGCTTGGTTTCGCATATGGCAGGGAGGAATTTGAATAGGCTCCAGTCGCCAAGAAGAGAATGCGCGTTAGGTTACAGGAATAACTAATTGGTCGAGGAACTTGGGATGCTGGGCGGCATACTTGGTAGTTGGAGATGCTGCCAGAACTAGAATAGGCTGGATGGCAGCGTGGGGGTGACTCGAACTAGAGTAGAGGAGAGAGCTCCTGTGTCCGATAGTCGGACGGCGTGAGGCCAAGATCAGACGAGCAAAGCAGTAGTGTGCACCGATCAATCACCTGTCAAACATGCAGCGGCTTGCCGCAGGATCAATCATGGAGGTTGTCTTGGTCCCCGCTAGCGTGAATTTCGAACGCAGTGTGAAAGAGGGAAAAAAAGAATTGTCATTGCGAATGAACTGCCGTGCCCGCACCAGCTGAGCCCTCGAAGGTGCCGCCGATGACGGCCTGCCGTAGGTAAGCTGAGGCATTAGCTGCCTTCCGTTTGCCTTGCATGCTGCATCTGGCAGATTACACCCATATTCGCGAGGGAAGTACGGAAGCCTGGAAAGTGCGAAGGAAGGCACAGCAAAGCCAGCAGCGACTTGTGGGCTGTCACGTCACGTCACGTCACGCCACCCAACTCGCGCCTGAATCCCGCTCGGCTCCTACCGTCAGGTACAGTTTTACCTGAACCCAAGCTACTAAGGTACCAGTTTCACCCCGAACCAGAGAAAATCAAATTCCGAAATGCGGATCATCTAAATAATAATCCGACCCAACCTCGCCCGACCCAGGGATAATACATGCGGGATTGACATCACCAAGACCACCGCCACCACCACCACGACCGATTCAAAATAATCAAACCAAACAAAAACACCCTCTCTCCCACGGATTAACTGAGCCTGGGCTGTGAAGAAAAAAAGAAAAGAAAAAAGAAACAACAAGAATGCACAGCGTCAAGACGTACTTCCTCGTCCCCGGCTGGGACTACCCCGCTGGCACGGTGCTCCTGGGCAGCGTCATCACCAACCCCACGCAGCCCCAGCTCGCCCTCTTCCGGCCGTCGGTCGACGACATCGACACGCCCATCCACGGAAAGGACCGGGCGCATTTCTCGGCCAGCTCCATCAAGCCCGAGACCAGCGCGGACAAGAGCGCCGGCCTGTTTGGCACCTTCCTCAACGTGTTTGGGCTTGGCCAGGAGGCCAGCTTCCACTACGACCGCAAGACGGTGCTCTCGTACTCGTTCCGCCACCTGCACAGCCGCTGGTTCGACCCGTCCGACGCGCTCAAGCACAAGGCCGTCATCGGCACCGACCGCGTCGCCCAGTTCTGCCGCGCCAGTGACTACAAGGCCTCGGTCTACATGATCACGGGCGTCAAGACCATCCGCGGCGCCGGCGTCACCACCGCCTCGGGCAAGGGCACTGGCTGGCGCGTCGCCCTGAGCGTCGGCGCCGACGAGTCCAACCCAGACGCCCTGCCCATCACCTTTGCCTTTGAGCTGGCCGAGCTGAGGCTGACCCCCGACGGCACCATCCTGTCCGCCGCCGAGAGGACAGCCGGCCCCCACAACCTGGCCCTGCAGGCCAAGCTGGACAACGAATTCGGCGTGGCCACCTTTGCCATCGTCGACGGCTTCGACGAGGAGGACGGCACGCCCTGCAGGATCGTCGCCTCGAGCCCGGCCTGCGTCGACTTGCTCACGGCCGGGTCCGCAAAGATAGACCCCTTGTCGTTACGGAGGCAGTCGAGAGGAGCCATTACTTACTAGGCACCTCAGTTCTCACTCTAACCGGAGGGCGATGGGGAAGGACAGGAGCGGACAGGACTAGGGTATTAAACTGCTCACCATTTTAACTCATTTTAACTTGGCATCTATAGATTTTGTTTGTAATGATTCTACGCGTATCTGTTACGATCAGGAGAACCAAAGGGGTCCTAGAGACGGTAGGGGTCAAAAGGTAAGTGCAAGGGGGTGTATGTAATCACTGAGCAAAGGGTAGTTCTCTCGACCGTGCAATGAATGCCTAGGAACTTGTATAGATTACTGGTCTGTGACCTAATGTCGCCAGGCCCTACTCGTTATATAGAAACCATAATCTACGGACCCGACAGGTGTCAGAATTACGGAAGGTTCAGGGGTAGCCACAACAGGGCCCCTGAGAGGGCGTCTGGATGGATCCCAGCCACAGCCCACTTTTCGCCGCCATTTGGGCACTGAACGCTGGGCCGGACCCACGCCGGGATTCAGGCCTGGGCAGAGCAATACATCACACTTTTGCACCCACTACGTTGACCCTGATTTTGCAGCTCTTCTGACAATTAAGAGTCTCATTCTGATCTCGAAACCATTGATCTACGCAACAGTAAGAAGCTCGATCAATCAACACGAAAGAACCACCCAAAAGAAACGAAGAACGTCGCTCCACAGCGCCGAACGCGAGAATAACGCGAAATCCCACGAATCCTACGATGACCTCCACAAACGAAGACACCCTCCTCACGAGCCCTGATCAGTGGGAGGCTTGGTCCCTGATCTTCGAGTCGAAGGCGCGAGCCAACCGATTGTGGCAAGCGATCACCAATAAAGAACCTTTCCTCGAACCCCCTCAGGCGATCGCCCTCGCTGAGCACAAGCACAAGTCCCCCGGTCTCGACGATGAGGATAAACCTTTCCCCGTTCGGTTCGGAGACCTCACGGCCGAGGGAGCCAGAACCTACGCCCTTGAGAAAGAAGACAATAAGGAGCAGGAGAAGCGGTTTGAACGCCAAGAGATGGCAACCGCCACGCTCAAGAGTTGGGTCCTCAAGACCGCCTCGCCACACTACCGCAAGGTTGCGTGCGCCCCGGCAGATGGCCTAAATAAGTGGTATACGGCCCTGAAGGAACAGGCCGGTATCTCAGACACGCGTACTCGTCAGGAGGCGCGTGATAATTACAAAAGGGCAGTATCCATCCTTGTGAAGCCCCCGAGAGATCCCTTGAAGTGGATCGAGAACTGGGAACAAGCGATGTCAACAGCGTTGTTGAAGGAGATCCCTGAAGTCAGCCTAGCTAACGACTGGTTTGAAGACTTCACCACTGCGCTTCGGCAGCAGTGGGGAACTTGGGTCACTTCGTACACTCTGCTCAAAGAGAACGAGATTCGAAACAAAACGCACTCTTATCGAGAGGTCGCGAACGATTACCGAGAGGAAGTACGGAGGCAGGCCCATTCTCGCGTGCCGGGTAGCTCCCGAGTGGCGAAAGGCGCCTTCTACGCTTCCTCTGAGGCGCGCCCCGGCGCGCCCTCGCAGGGTGAAGATGCCCAAAGCGACGGATCGAACTCCTCTGAAAGGAAGGAAAAAAGAACGAAGAAGCCACTACCTAAGCGAGCTAGGGCAGTTACTGCCGGCGAGCCCAAGGAGCAACGCACTTCGAACGTATGCCCTGCATGCGACCAGTTCCACCAGCTGGAAAAATGCTGGTACGCGTTTCCCGCACAGCGCCCTGACAGGTTCTACGCGCGCGGTGAATTCGTGGATAAGTTCAAACGGAGACTGGAAACAACTCCCTCTCTGCGGGCTGCGATCGAGAAGATCGAGAACAAGCCCATCAACAAGAAGCCTCGGATGGGGAACTACCCCGTCCGAAGCAAAGCCCCGGAAACGGAAGAACCACGTTCAGACGAGAAAGAAGACTGACTGGTAAGAGACATCGGGAGGTGCGAAGGGAGCTTCCGCATCCAAGCTGGTTCCTCAACCTCTTCATACCCCCTCAAACACTCAGCGATTCTCGACTCAGGCTCAACGCTACACATCTTCAACGATCCCTCCCGCTTCAAGAACTACAGGGAGGCCCCAGTGGGGGATTTCCTCTTTGCAGGCGAAAATAAGGTTCCAATCCTTGGATACGGAGAGGTTGACATCATCGTCAAGGACGAGAGCGGCCCCGTGTGCCTGGAGCTCACTGATGCAGCCCTCTGTACAAACTTCGCCTGCAACCTCGTCTCCCTGAGGAAGCTTCGGCCTCAAGGCTACTGGTGGGATTCGAAGAGCGAGCCAACAAGCCTGAGAAGAGCAGACGACACTATCATATGTTTCCTGAGCGATCAACACGACCAATTCGTGCTCGAGTACCGAGACCCAAACGTTCCAACCTCGGCGTTCTTTGCGAGCGGTCACCTTGCCGGTGCTGCCTTTGCTACGTCGGGAAGAAAGGAAGCGAAGAAAAAGAAGCCAAGATTCACGCAAAACACGGTCAGGAGGCCCCTGACTGATACAGCGGAAATCTGGCACCAAAGGCTAGGCCACCCGGGCCCTGAAGCAACAAAGCACATCGTCCACGCAGCAACCGGGATCAAGATCAAAGGACCAACAACGGTTCAGTGTGAAGCCTGCGCAACGGCGAAAGCACACCGGATTGTGAGGAAAGAACCCCGTGCCCACGATGAAGGCCCCGGAAGAAGAATCGCAATAGACCTGTTTGAGTTCCCAGCAGATAAAGACGGCTTCAAGTACTTGATGCTCTGTACAGACCGCTGGTCAGGCATCGTCTGGAGCTACGTGCTCGAAAAAAAGGATACCCTCACTCTGATCAGAGTGCTTGATGACCTAATTGGC